TGTGGGTGTGGGTGTGGGTGTGGGTATGGATGTGGGTGTGGGTGTGGGTGTGGATGTGGGTGTGGGTGTGGGTGTGGGTATGGATGTGGGTGTGGGTGTGGGTGTGGATGTGGGTGTGGGTGTGGGTGTGGGTGTAGGTGTGGAGTGTGGGAGGGTGTTGGTGTGGAATAGAACCCTGGCTCCAATTACGGCCACACCCACACTCCACACTCACACCCACACCCACACCCACACCCCACACCCACACACACCCACACCCCACACCCTTATCAGTATCATCATTCATATAATATTATGATCACGAATAGAAAATCAATGACATATAAATCTTTGTTAATGTTTCTGGTCAATGTTAAAAGATTTTGAAGAGAATAAAACAATGAGTTTTAATAATAAAAAAAAATTAAAGAATCAATAGAAAGATTCAAGAAAAAAAAACAATTGTACAATGATAGGTTTATCTGTCTCGAGATTTAGGATGCTTGTTTTTCATCTTTATTTCTTTCATTAGATCATTTCAAATAGAATAATTAGTAATTATATCTAAAAATCTTATGGGTGTGGGTGGATGTGTGGGTTTTCTTTCATTCCAACACCCACTCACACCGACGCATACCCATACCCGCACCCACATCCACCCCACCCCCACCCACCCACACCCTGGCCTGATAGCCTAGCAGCTGTGATGCAAACAGCTTGTTTAATAGTAATACCGGTATGCTATACAAGAAAAAAATGATTCAGCTGATAGTGATACCAGTGATGAATGGTCAATCTTTATTTTATTTTTATTTCTTTGTCTTTGATTATATAGTTTATATATCCCGTTATAAAAACTACAAGAAAAAACTACTGTGTTTAAATAGAAAAAGGAAGCATTTCAGTCAAATAGTATTTTAAATGTATTATTGGTATTCTTCCATAGTAGTTCGAACTGTCGATGAATAGTCTCTATTAATTATAGTATTCGATCGATCAAAATAAGTAGAATATCCACATGTACTTGTATGTAATAAAGCTGATCGTGCTGGAGGCGTCTAGAATAAACGATTTACAGTTTTTTTTTTTAAGCTATTTTGGTTTTCAAAAACAATTTACTATATCTTCAAGAACACCAGCGTTGCGAGCTTGTTGTACAAGTTTTACTGGATCTAAAAGTGATGACCCATAACGAGCTCTATAAGATTCAGGATCTTCTGGAGTGACACCAAGTTCTTGATATTTTTGAACTATACGAGTGTCAGCAGCAGGACAAATAATAATAGTATTTGATGGTTGTGGATATTCTATAGCAGGAGGAGCATGTTCAACAATCGTACGTCTTTCAGGTGGAGGTCCATACGGAATCCATCGTTCAATTATAATATCACCTCAATAGCAAAAAAGTAACAATCCGGAATAAGAAAAACAAAAAGAAGAAAAATGATGATAATTATTTTACGTGGTTTTTCTGGAGGAGGTGGAAAACGTTCGATAATAACTGATCGTGGTGGAACAGGTAACGCAGGTAAGGTACGAAAAACTGTAAAATAAAATATATTGATAAATCTAAACTATGTTACATAAATTTCTTTTGTTTTTTTGCTAACCTCTTTCACTAGGAATATGTTTTGGTGGTGTTGGTGGACATTCACGTAAGATAAGTGGAGGTGGTGAAGGCAGAGATGGTGCATATTCGCGTATGACAAGTGGTGGAAGTGGTGATGGTTGTCGTGGACGGACTTCTTTGATAATGAATGGCTAAAATCATAAAAATTTGAGTAGAATTGAATTTGTAAACAATGTATTTCATTACTCCTGGTGGTGGTACAGCTGGCGGTTGAAGATATCGAACAAGAACTCGTTGTTCAAGTGTTACTGGATTTGCATTTCCGGTTCGTCGAATAATTTTTGGATTAGGATCATGATAAATATTCGAACCTGATTTTTCCAGATAACAATTGGTTTCTTCTGGACTATATGTATCAATCACCGTATCATCAATCCATCTCCTATTTCCATATGAATTATGTCTATCATCCATATATCCCAAATCATCTTGAAAATTATCTTTATATCCGTATCGACTAAATCGATTGGTAGTATCATCATAACGATTAAATGTACCAGCCATGGATTCACTTGATGTAGTCAATCCTTCAGTATTTGAAAACCGATTACAAAATTCACATTTATCAAAACTAAATATGTATATATGTATTTATTATTTGATTTAAATTCTTAATTTATACCGTCTATCCTGATTTGTATCAATTTGGGTACATAAGGTGTCAGCTGTATTATAATTTGCTATTGTTCAAAACCGACAAAGTAGAAATAAATTACTAAAATAAAGGAAAACAAATGATCATTGTTTTATATATCTATCATAAAAATATAAAATGCTCAATCCAAGCATCACCAACATAAAATACAAATAGATATACCCAGCATTTGATTTGTAATATCAAGAGACTTCTTCTTCATACTCTTTTTAAGTTTTTGGTCAAAAAGATTAGAAGCATTAAAAAAACAAAAAAAAATCGTCGCATCGTTCTTATAAATAGTTGGTGAAGAATGGAATAGAATGATGAGAATATTGTAAGAAAAAAAACAGGGACAGAAGAAGGAGACGAACAGCTCCTTATTAAAACTGTTGAAAGGAAATTGGCCCACTCAAAATTCGGAAAAAAAGCATATGATGAGAGATTTGAATTTTGGTAAAATAACATTCTTTAAATTCATCTCATTTTTTGACAGATCAAACTTGTATCGCTCTATTTTATAGCGGTATAGTGGTATAAGCGGTACAAGGACAAGTTTTTATACCATTATAGCGGTACGGCGGTATAAGTGGTATAATGGTATGGCTTTATGCAGCTATAGTGGGATTACTGGTATAATGTTATATTTTTATATCGCTACAGCGGTATAGCGGTATAAGCGGCATAAGGGTATGTTTTATACAGCTACAGTGGTATTTGTGGTATAAGGTTATATTTGTATACCAACATAGCGGTATTGGCGGTGTGAGTAGTATAAGGGTATATTATTTACCTCGTATCTAGTGATACAGAGGTATAAATAGTATCAGAGTATTATGGCTGATAAATTACTATTACTGGTACTAAGTAATAAACCATTAAAACAAGTAATAAAATACTGCACACCTCGAATCATTGTCCCCTTTTTATATTTCTTAGATTTTATCACTAGACTTTTTTAATTTATTAACTTCTTATATATAGAAAGAAAACTCAAAACGTGCTGCATCTGATGGTATATTTACACTGAACAATAAATGAAGTTTGAAGTATAAAAAGTGTGTTAGAAGAAGACGTGATATTTTTTTCCTACAAAAATTGATCAAAATCTTAAAATGTATGAAGAGTCACTAGTTCTTAGGATAACTTTTTGATTGGAACGAGATAGAAATTTGTGGTTTTTACCTTTGGATAGAGGGCATAAAGATGCATCGAATTCTATACTTTGTATATTTCTGACAAGTTTTGTTATAGTCTTTAGCAAGCGTTTCTTCAAAAATCGAGTTTTTCGTATTTTTTGAAAAAACTTTATATTATCCTTAGTTGAAGTCTCCATTTTTGGAGGCAAGTTCGCTAAAGAACCTAATAAAACTTGTCAAAACGATGCGAAGTAGAGAACTCGATTAATCTTGATGTATCCTTTCTAACGGTGAAAACCACAAATATCTATTTCGTTTCAATCAAAATTTATTATAAAAGCTAGTGACTTCTCATACATTTTAAGATTTTGATCAATTTTTTTGTAGTAAAAAAAAGTCACGTCTTTTTCTAATACACTTTTTATACTTCAAACTTTATTCATTGTTCAATGTAAATAGACCACCAGATGCAGCACGTTTTGAGCTTTCTTTCTATATATAAGAAGTTAATAAATTAAAAAGGTCTTGTGAAAAATACTACAAAATACTAAAGGGGAGAAAAACTGAGGTGCACAGTAGTTTCTAAAAATTGAACAAAAAAGAGGATACATAATGTTAGTTTTCAAGCTTTATTCAACGCAGAAGATAGTTATAATATTATCATGTATTCATTTCTAATACAAAGTTTGTATTACACCTCGAAAATCTCCATTGGATTACTACTTGATTACCATTCTATTAGTATTATTTTATTGTTTTCAGAGAAAAAAAAGCTAGTGTATAATCAGTTTGAAACTAAATTGAAAAATCAAAATTTTATCTTTTTCATTTTTTTTGACGACAACTAGTACTTCACAGAGCACAGCTATCCTAAGAAACAAAAAGAACTTCTGTTATCCTCTCTATGCTCGATCTTGAGTGCCACTGTGAACAGTGACAGCGGTTACGTCACACTTTGCATTTTTATAAGCAACAACAGTGTACTAGGTAACAGTAGATACATGTAATGTTTTTCTTTCTCTTAAAGTTTGTGAACTTTCGGTCTCTGTACATCATAGATACTGAAAAGAATGTCCAAATATGTATAGTCAGATGGGCTCAGATGTGTTCGTACTTGTTCGAGAGTAGTCAAAACTCAAGAAGTAACATCTGAACAAAGCTACTGTACAAAAGTATTTGTCCTCAGCAATTTCCGAAATCAGGAAGTGCAAATAGAATGATCGACAATATTACTAAAGTTTTTCAGAAAAATTCCAGGTTTTAACAAATTTTTTTCTGGTTCTTGTGGTATTTTGAAGCAAGGATCTCTTAACATATTGACCATAATAGTGATTCATGTGAGAAAACAAAAGAACAAGAAGTAGACTTAATATAATCCACAAACGATAATTTTATCTTCTAGATCTAAGCCTAATTCAACCCATTGAACTCAGTTCCGTCTTTATGTTCAAACTCTTGTACTAATTCATCTCGAAAAAGTTCTTAATTGTCGATGGTGATATCACTTTGATAATCAACGAAGTCAGATGTTAGCAAAACTCCTCGCAACTGAACTAGAAATTTGCTTCAATTCAGATTCATCATGTTCAAAAGCTAATGAATTTCTGTTGCAAAAACTACAGCAAGTTTTGAAGCTCATAGTTATGAAAAGAAGAAAAAAGGTGTTGTAAAACAAACTGTCTAGATAACGAATGAAACACATAATTGATCCGTGCTTTGAATTGTATTTACTACGTCTCTTCTTATAAATATACTTTGTTAGTATAAACAATATTGTTTTTCTATAAACTATTCAAGTATAGTATACTTGGAATGGTTTAAATGAATTCTGAAAATATATTGTGAGCCTTTTTAGATTTCAAAAAAAAGATTTTGAGATTTGTCCGATTTGATGATTTGGATTCAGAATTTTGGATATTAATATTTGACAAGAACAAGATACAAAACAATGATATTATACAACGTCATCAAAATCGATTACTTTGTTCTAGAAAAATAATGCCTCAAATTTAACAGTTGAAATATTTACCTTCGTTCTTTCCTTCGTAGTGAAGGTTTATCATTTGAAGAAATATTCACAGCGATAGACGGTTCTGTTGATTGAAGAAGCAAAATCATTTTCTTGCGTCTACATGGCTTAGATTGAATTTCTTTCAATTTTTTCAGCCGCATGTGCCCATTAACATTCAAACAGTGCTTTTCTTTTCTCCCGTTAATAATCATTTGAGAGATAAATACAGCTCCTTGTGTGACTCGTTTTACTCTTGACTGAATAGGGTGTAGATGTGGGTGTGAATGAGTCAAGGGGGAAACAGCGGATTTCAAGTACATAAAGTACGTCAAAGTACAAAAGTACTTGAAACTCCAGCAAAGTACCTGTAAAGTACTTGAAATTACATCAAAGTACCTTCAAGGTACTTTGAATTACAACAAAATATGCATGAACATTTCTCAAATCTCTAAAATGCATGGAACAAGATCGCATCATGTTTGGCAAAATATGACAATGGCGTTATTACCTTGTCTAAATCAATGAACTACTAAGGAAAAAGAAAAAGAAACAAGAATTTATTAATAATAATCATTTGTTTGTTGTTTAACACCAGATAAATGACCAATTCATAACCTCTTTGCGTCGTTTGATAGAAGTCAACAGGTTGATAGCTTGTGGAGACACTTCAGATTTCTATTTATTTTGATCTTAAAGTACCCTAGTGGCCTCTGCCGAAGAAGATTTCCGGGGAGTTTCCACGAAAACTCCACTGGGGAATTACGACAGTGATTCACCAGGGACCTGTAATGAAGTTAGAGGGTGTTGGTGTGAGTGTGAGTGTGAGTGTGGGTGTGGGCGTGGGTGCGGGTATGGGTGCGGGTATGGGTATGCGTCGGTGTGAGTGGGTGTTGGAAGGAAAGAAAACCCACACATCCACCCAGACCCACACCCTCACACCCACATCCTCACACGCACACCCACACCCGCACCCACACCCACACCCACACCCTGCAATATCGCA